CAACAAACCAGGTGAATTTTAAGGCGCCGTAAGTAGATGCCAGAAAGTTCTCGGTTTGTGACCGCAGCCCGTGCGTACCGCAGCAAGGCCTCTGTCATCGCTAACTCGCCACGGGTCCTTTCCAGCTCACAGAGCCGTGGGCACTTCTTCCCGTTCATATTAATTGGATTTTAAAGTGACCTTGTCTATGTATTGATTTGAATGAACATTTTCTACATCAAGGTCAAGGCGGCGCACGTCCGACAGTCGAGATGGTAAAAAGCCAGGCGCTGCCGAACGCACGGACAGGAGGGCGGGGCTGGGGGGGAACTTTGCACAGAGGACGCCCTGAGCCTTTGCAACGGAGGGCGAGTTCCCTCCTGATGCTAACATGGCAGTTTGCTGAGGGGGGGTTGATGTGCACAGGAAGCTCCGTGGTTAGACCCAGCTCGGCAGGCTCCTTGACTGCAGTCCTCAGAGCCTTTAACCTGCCAGTGTGCACGGTGAATCTTTACGAGGGGGTGTGTGTGTGGTTTCTCCGACCTGTCTCATAGCCACAATCCTTGGGGCAGGCGGCGGGGCAGTGCGGGGACCACCCTCACCTGGGCTGGGTCTGCCTCCTGCCCCGGAGCCCGGGCCCAGATGCTGCTCCTCGGGTGTGTTCAGGGCGAGGTCTCAGCTGGTCTGAACTCGCACCCGCCGCCGTGGGAAAGTCAGCCATAAACTCCACCATCTGGCAGGACCTCATCCGGGAGTCCCGTCTCCGAGCTGCCCATTGACGGTCTCTCCGTGTAGGCGTCTCAGCAGAACCCAAACCCAGTAAAGGGAAGTGGTCCTCCCCATCCCCTGCCTCTGTTCTGCCCTCTTGTCTTCATCTCCTCTCAGGCAGCAGCAAGACCATCCACCTGCCGCTCACGCCAGCCACCCAGACGTCTGTGTGCGGCCTCACAGGCGTGCCTGCCCTTGTCCCGGAGCCCAGGGCAAGTCTGCATTGGGGGGAGGACCCCAGGAGTCAGGGGGAGCCTGGGTGGCACTGAACATGGTTGCCACATCTAAGAGCACCTCTTAGGGGGAGCACCAGGTGGGAGTGCTCACCTGTCCAGCTGCCTCCACCTTTTAGCCTGTGAGGGCGGACAGGCGCTGAACCGAGTGCCTCTGATGGTGCCACACGCAGGGTGACGAGGCAGCGCCCCCTCCGGGGTTCCTCGGGGCCACCGGGTGGAGGGTGCCCTCCAGCTACTCAGTCACACGTCGCTCTGTCACCTCTTCCAGAGGAGCCATATGGACTCTCCTGAGCCTCACGGCTTCCGCTGACACCGTGACGACGGGGCCCTTGGACAGATGACGTTTTAATCTTTACACTCTCGTGTCGGCGCCCCGAGTGTCCCCTGCTACAGGCACTCTCTGTACCATGAGTGCTTATTGGAGTTACTCACTTCATCTCTCTCGGGAATTAGGACAAATACGTAGGCTCTTCTTGCTGTGGGGTAGCTAGGCCTATCTGCCTCCCCCTCCCTCACCTTCCAACTACACCTGGAAAGCAGCACCTGCAGACCGCAGGGTCTGACGTCCTGGAGAATGGCATCTCTGAGCGGCTGGTGGTGTGAGTGGCTGGTGGTGTGAGTGGCTAGTGGTTTGGCTATGAGTGGCTGGATGGTTATGGTTATAAGTGGCTGATGGTTGTGAGTGGCTGTGAGTGGCTGGTGGTGTGAGTGGCTGTATGGTCGGCTTCTCTTTTTAACATACCCTCCCCCGAAGCCGAGGTCACCGGGCCGCCTTTGTCCCACGTGTGGCTTTGTGCCAGGTCACGCATGTGCATCTGGTCCTGGGTTCTGGTGCTATTAAGCCTTCGGTCAGCTTGCCTCTTGTGTTCTGACACAGACGCCGCTCAGGTTCCCGGGCCTTCCCCTGTGCACGCCCCGGAGGGACAAGGTCTGAGCTCTCGGTGTCTCCACGGCCTGCGGGGTAGAGCCAGCGCCGTATTAGGTGGCATTTGGTGGCAGAGTGGAGATAAATATTTCTGCTGTTCTGCTCAGCCTCGCTCCACGCTGCCTTTCCCGCCTGCGACGAGCCTTGCCATGGTGAACCAGGAATTCTCTAATGGACGACTCCCCGCGGGCAGCGGCTGTGAGACCAGAGGGGGGGGGGGGGCAGTTTCAGCCCAGCTGCCCCATGTGCAGCTGCCCGATGTGGAGCGAGGTCTGACCTGCCGGCAGGCCCACGGGCTTCCTCTGAGCCACAACTTGCCATGGAACACGCGGGACAGGCGCAGGAGGGTACGGAGGGGGCTCCTTGGAAATGTGCTGCTCGGTATAGAAGAAGGGTTACCGTGGCAACGGCAAGCCTGCCTCATTACCAGCTGGCATTAGCTTTGTCTGTGGTCTCCCAGAGCAGCTGCCAGGAGCCCACCTGCCCCATCCCTGGGCATCTTGCCTGTGACCAGGGCGGCGCTGGCCAGCCTGCAGGTGGCGTCCATTGGCCTGTGTGTGACGCACTGCATTTCCTTCTCCCAGACTCACGGTCATTCCCACCTGCCGCACGCCGATGCATTAAACCAACACATCACACCCGAGGGAGATGGACACAGGACGAGAAAAAGGCCGAGGAGCTCTGCACCCTGATGCAGGTTCACAATTAACAGCAAACCCGGGCCCATCGGAGCCGCTGCGGCTCCTGCCCGGTGTGGTCTCAGTCCATTTCCCGGACAGAAGCAGGGCTGCGGGGCGGGCCTGGCAGGGGGTGAGAGGCGGCCCGGAGCCGCAGGCGCCCACGGCAGGAGGCGCCAGGGGCCAGGTCGTGAGGGATCCACGTCGAGCAGGCGCCCACGAGCCTCAGACGGGGCAGTCTGAGCCTCAACACGAATACTAATCGCACCAGACAAAACCCAGCAGCCGGTTCAGTCTGAGAGCGGAGGGGAATGAGGGAGGGGAAGGAACCCGTCTGCAGTGGGAGAAAGCTGGTGAGCCGAGCACTGTTGTAACAACGGGACAGGAACGGAAAGGATTGAGCCTGTGCCCACCTTTCCTGTACAGGGAGCCTGCGCTCCGTGGCAGGCGGGAGGGGGGCTTTCTGTCCGGCTGCGAGGGGAACGGAGGCCGCACGGAACCCGCCGTGCAGAGCTGCTGGGTCAGTGCCGGGTCAGCGGTCCCCCGAGACCCATCCACACGCCTCCTGCGGGCGGAGCGGAACGTGCCTGGGAAGCAGTGTTGGCACACACACCGTCAGGCCTCATGCCACCTAATCACCAATTTACGGGAAGTGCGGTGAGAGGAACACGTCAAGCACACCGCCGGGAGGCGTCAGCAGAATCCAGGCCGGGGAAACGGCAGGAAATGAGCCGGTTTCGTCAGCAAATCTTGAGGAGGGGGGTAGAGAGAGGATGTCTCTCTTAGAAGACGGCGGGCAGTCACAGCGAGTCCATGTTCAGGTCCCGGGACCAGCAACCTCAGGAGCGTGCCGCGTGGGAGGCTGCGGAGCTGAGCACGCGCACTGCACCGAGCGGGGGTAACGGGGAGACGGCCCGTTTAGTGGACGTGGGGTGCGTCACGGTGATGCTCTGCTGGTCCAGAGCCTGTATCTTTTGGAGATGCAGCCTGAAACATTTACACGTGGAAACTACACTCTGCTGTTCGTTTCAAAATAACACGGTAAGGGTAACCAACCAACTAAATCCACGCACACGCAGAAAGGGGAAGTAGGTGGGGGAGGGGAAGACTTGCCAGGAGTTGTAATTGGTGCCGTTGGGATGGGTCCCCGGAGTTCCTTATACCGTTCTGTTCATTGGTACGTTATTTTAAAACTTCTGTAATGAAAGGTTTACAGGGATAATGAAGGTGGTGCTCCCAGGAGGGTGTTCTGTGCTATTTTACTTGAACAGCACCTGTTGCAGCGAGAGCCAGCTTACGCAGGCGTGCTCACACCTTTCTGGTTGGGCAGGTTGGGCACGTGGGCAGATTGTATCAAAAACCTTAACATGTTTGCACTGTTTGCCTCAATAATTACATTTCCGCGAATCTGTCCTCAAGAAGTGATCCCAAACGTCTGGAAAGCTTGGTGAACGGAAGTGTGTGGCAGCCATGTTTATATCAGGGGAAACTGGGAGCAGCTCCTGTCCCACAGGGTGGCCAGCGGAGAGCCAGGCCGAGTGCAGCGCCGCCTCTGCAGGCCACGCCGAACTGACTGCACCGGGAGCCGCAGGGGTTCTGCTGCCCGGGGAGTGGCTCTTGTCCTCACTCAGACCAGCGGGGACCTTTGGCCAATTCCGTGGCCGGCCTCCTCGGACCCGCTCCAGGGGCTCATCCAGGTGTCGGACGAGCTACGGAGCCCCAGGAAAGGGGGTGCCGTTCCCGCTCTGCGTGCCGGGCTCCAGGGCACAGCGGGCATTGCTCCCTGCATGTGTGACTCTCACTGTGTTTGTATATTTTAAGCCATGTGCTTCCTGAACATTCTAAAAGAGAAACAGCACTTAAACGTGTTTCCAGGATTCTGTTCCTCTTTAGAGATAAGATTCAGGCACTTTCCGATTACAGTCCCCTCTGACCGGCCACGGGAACAGACTGCCCGGGGTACCCCCTGCACTCCGGGGGGCACGGGCCACGGCAGCCTGAGAACCCGGTTCGCTGACTCCTGGAGCACCCGAGTCAGGGCCAGCCTGGGGGACCCCTCTCGGGGCAGAGAAAACAAGGGGTGTCGCCTTACCGGCAGATAGCAAGCGCGTGGGGCTTGTCCGGACAGGTATGAGCCAGTTATAAACCACGCGTGGTGAGAAGAGGGCCCGGGCTGTCTCTGAGTGGAGGAGGAAGTTCATTACTGAGTGCTTCGGGGTGCAGGCGCAGGACAGCCAGCAGCCCCCTCCTGGCCTCCCTCCTGGCCTCCCTCCTGGCCTCCCTTGTGACCCCCCCTCATGGTGCGTCTGACACAGGAGGGCAAGCCCAGCGTCGCCTTCTCGTCATCCCGCCCAGCTCGGTGGTGTGACTGCGTGTTCAGGCGTGGTGTTCATGTCTGCACACGTGTGTTGGCAGGTGACCTTGGGAAAGGTGCTGAAGGTGATCGTGGTCATGCGGAGCCTCTTCATCGACCGGACGATCGTGAAGGGCTACAGCGAGAACGTCTACACGGAAGACGGCAAGGTAGGCGGGCGGGCGGCCACGGGTCTGCTTTCCGTCTGGTCCGGTCCCGGGCCAATGTGGCGGAGCTCACACACACGGCGAGGCCGCGGTGATCGGACACGGCCGTGCCCGCGTGGAGGTGGCGCAGCACAGCCTCCGCGGCCTCCACAGGCCCCCGTCCTCGCCGAGGCCCTTGGCTGAACTCCTGATTCATCGCTTAGACCCAGGTGCCTATTAACGTGTCTTCTGAGGAAACGGATTTTTTCCTTTTTCTCTCTTTTTTGCCCGGTCGCGCCGCACATCAATAGCCCGAGGCCCGGCGTTCTGCTTTCCCAGAACAGGAGGGGAATGCGAGTTTGACACCCAGGCTGCCGCCCAGCTTCCCAGGGAGCTGACACGGAGTGCAGGCAGCAGCTCGTCCTCAGCAGCTCCACTGAGCGATGCCGGCCTGAGGCGGGTTCCTCCGGGGGTGACTTGCTCATAGAAAGATCACCCGTGAGCCCCTCGTTTCCCGGCCCCGCACTGTCCATATGGCTCTGCGGCGAGCGGCAGAGACGCTGATGGCCGCTGACAGCCTGCATTGTGTCTGCTCCCCAAGCGGAACGGGCGCTCCTGCCGGGACACCCCCAGACGCCCCCGGGGCCCCAGCACCTGCCCGTCTGCCTCAGGCTGTCCTTCTGTCTATGAGGCCCACGGAACCCCAGTGTGTTCGCTCTAGCACTCACCCAACAGCCACGTTCTGATGAGGGGAGAAGGTTCTTCAAAAAAAAGAGGTGCCAACCCTGGGTGGGCTCAGTGGTTAGAGCATCACCAGTGGCCTGAAGGATCCCCGGTTTGATTCCAGTCAAAGGCCCGAACCTCGGTTGCAGGCTCGATTCTCTGCATCATGGTTATTTCTTTCCATGTCTGTCTTGCAGGTGGTAAAAATGCTAACAGTACCCGTATGTTAGTCTGGTGGCACTGTGCTGAAGCAAGCTTTGCCTACAGGGGTTACTGAATCCTTGACCCATTTTCCAGATTAGGAGACTGAGACCTGCAGTCACACTGAGCCAGAGCTCACACCTCCCCCTGTCCATGGCTCCTGAGGACACAAGCTGTCCTTCATTGTCCCAAGGATAGAACTCAGGGCCTGGAGCACAGCCCAGTGGCATGGGGGTGGGTGGTGAGATGAGAAAGCCACGGGGTGTGAAGTGCTTTGCCTGCGGTGAAAAGGGGAGAGACAACCGTTAGAGGCGGGGACTAAAGGAAGCAGCAGGGAGTGGAGAGGGAGTCAGAGAATAAAGGACACGCAAGGCGCACACTCTGGATACAAGCCCCGGGGCTAAGTCCTCCAATAAAACAGGGGAAGGTCTCAGGCCCACTGGCCTGGAGCTGACTCAGCGCCCAGGCCTGTCCTCGGCTCACACCGCACTCACCTGGGCAGTGCCGGCGCCTCGGCTGACTCGGTCTCATTAGGGGATTTAGGTTACACTCGTGCTGCCGCTCCGTTAATTACCCACAATCACGTGCGTACGGCTGCTTAGCCTCCGCCGGAGAGGGAGTGGGTATCAAAGGGAGCCTTCAAAGGCAGCCCGTCCCCGGGGTCTGCTGATCCCGCTTCTCCCACTTCAAAGTGGGCCGTGTGCGCGCCTGGGCCGGGGAGCCGAGTCTGATTCCGCTAACAAGAGCTGGCATCGGCCCGTTTGATATTGGATGCAGGGAGCGTTTTGATTTGTTAGAGCCTTTGAAACTGTTCAGACGACCTTGTTACTGTGGGGGAAGGGCAGTGCGGGGGTCCTGCAGAGTGAGAAGTTCCCAAATAGTAGGCCTGTTCCCGTCCTAGGGAGGCGGGGCCTCTTCCATTCCCAGGGCGGTGGGCGGGCCCCAGAGACCACCAGAGGGAGGGTCCTGGTTAGACTCCCTGACCTGCCCATGTGGGTGATGCTTCCTGTCGCTGTGGCTCTTCCTGTGCCCGGGCCGTGGTATCGACGGCTTGACGGCTGGCCCGGGGCAGATGTGTGTAAGGAGGTGGTCCTCAGGGATCTGACGGAATCCTCCTGGAACGCGGTGCGCCCCCCCTGGATGCTCAGCCAGCCCAGAGCCGGAGGCTGCTCCGAGCTGCGTGTCCGCACCGTCAGGGAGGTTGGCTTCTCCCCAGCAGGGCCTTCCGGGCCCGGGTGCTGCGGCCTCACTCCTTCCCAGGACACTGTAGTCAGAGCTTCCCAGGCGTGGGCAGCAGTTTGCAGCCTCTAGGAGCTCCCATTTGAATGCACGGCCAGCGAAGTCCATAGTCCTGCTGCCTTGCAGCCCAGAAGCAGGAGCTAATGAATATTCATTTGGGTTAGACGTGGCTCCCGGAAATGAGGCGGACACTGACCCCAGAACGCTGAGGAGATGCTTTCTTCGGGGTAAACGTGGCAGAAGACCCAGGGCAGCGCTGCCGGGCCTTCCTGGCACACCTGGCACTTCCTTGTTACCGTCCTTTCCTGCGTGTGCGCCTGGTGAGGGCGCATTGTCCGGCGTCCCCGTCCCAGATGGTCCCGCGTCCCCCGGGCCTGGGTGACGCGTGGCCCGTCCAGAGGGAGCAGCGCACGTCTCACAGGCCCGTGTGCTCCGCCCAGGCGGCCGGGCAGGGGCTCTCCGTTCCCTCAGGTTTCTCTGTGAAACATTTCGCTGCAGGTGTTGCTGTTCTTCAATAATTTCATCTTTTAAATTAAAACCCTCTGTATGCAGACGCCTTCCTTCCTGCCTGCCCATGTCTCTGATTGCTGAGCCTGCGCGGTGGGGCGGGCAGGAGGACAGGCTCTGGATCCTCTGCAGGAGGATCTGTCCGTCCCACGCCCAGGCATGGCGGTGACTCCTGGGATTTAGATTTGGGGTCTTTGTCATCTTCCTGTCATCTTGGCGGTGACTTGTTAGAATAAAGACAGAACATCGCTCACTCAGCGATCTGATGGCCTGTAAGGCTGCGTGTTTAAGCCCTGGGCTGCACTGCTTCCCTACGAATGGGACTGAACCAACTTCCCCGAGGGGACAGCGCCCACAGGCCGCCCGCCGAGGATTGGCTATGAGGGAACTCATGTTTCTTTTTTATATATATATTTTTTAATTTATTTTTACAGAGAAGAAGGGAGAGGGATAGAGAGTCAGAAATATCGATGAGAGAGAAACATCCACCAGCTGCCTCCTGCACACCCCCAACTGGGGATGTGCCCACAATCAATGTACATGCCCTTGACCGGAATCGAACCTGGGACCTTTCAGTCCGCAGACCGATGCTCTAGCCACTGAGCCATACCTGTTTCGGCGGGAACTCACGTTTCTTCAGTTTCCTTCAGATTTCCTGGAAGCAATGTGTCTCTTTTCCCCTAGAACTGGCAAACCTGTCAAGTTAAAAGTCTCACCCTAACGCCTTTTTAAAGTGTTACCCCATCAGCTGGTTTAACTGGGCTGGGGGCTGGCAGTGGCAGCACCCTGTGAGTCGGCTCAGCAGCCAGGAGAGGGTGCCAGGGGTTGAGCGGGAGTCTGGGAGGGATGGACAGCAGCGGGAGGGGAAGGGCTTCGGACTGATGTTCAGTCCATCACATTCTTCCATGGCGTGTCCTGGACTTGGGCCAGCAAAACCTCCCCCTGCCCAGCAGGAGCCCCGCAGGGGTCAGAGGTCCAGAACCTTCTGCTGCCCCAGAAGGTTTCCGACGCCGTGGCACTTACATAGAGCCGACTGCGAGCCGGGAGATGGGTGCCCGTCTTTTCATCCTCACCCAGGACAGGCGTACAGACTTTAGAGAGAGGGGAAGGGAGAGAGAGAAAGAGGAAGAGAGGAACGTCGACGTGAGAGAGAACTTTCGTACATGACAGAGAACATGTTGTTTGCCTTCCACACAGCCCGGGACTGAACCCACAACTCAGCTCTGTGCCTGACGGGGGGGGGGGGGGGTTTCTAACCCACAACCTTCCAGCATACAGGACGATGCTCCAACCAACTGAGCCACACCAGCCGGGGCTACAGCCCAACTTTCCATTTCCAAGGACTGTTTTCAGAAGGCCAAGCGTTGGTGTCTTCACCTGTCAAATGCAGCCCTTCACTTCCTGTCTCAGAGCAATCTTCGGCTGATTGCTGCCCTGCTCCCACCTGCTCGGGATCAATACTTCGGCCCAGGCTCAGACAGCTGGGGCTCAGGCCCCCCTGGACCCCCAGCCAACCCCCGAGGCAGGTTGCAGGAGGCCCATCGACCAGGTGTTTCAATTTGCTCAGCTCTTGACCTTGTGTATTAAAGTGGACCTTTTAGCGCCAGAGGACATGCTGGCGGCCCCGCTCAGCTGCCCCGTCCCGAGCTCTCCGTCGGCTCCGGGTGCTCTGTCTGCCAGCCTTCACTTGCTCTTGAAATAGAGGGGCACCCATTTGATCTCTCACGCAAACCTGTGAGGCGGGTGGTTTGGTGAGACTGCAGGAAGTGCCCCGGGCAGCACCCAGTGTGGCCAGAGGACTGGCCTGGGTTCCCGCCGAGCCCTGCCCACGTTTCCTCTTAGGCCGGGTTCGAGTTCGGGGCGCCCTAGTCACAGCCTCTGACCTGAGCAGCCGGCACAGTTACTCGGTTTCCCTTCAACAAGCTCCTTACGTCCCCGCAGGCTGTAAGGAAGACATGCAGGTGGGACGGTTAAGCCCTTTCAATCCGGGATCTTGCTTCTAGAATCATCGGTCTTACTCCTCCAGGCTGAGCAGCGGCAGCTGAGCATCGTGTTTTAAAAGTCCGGGTCCTAAAATTGACACTGACCATCCTTTCTTCCCTCCCCCACAGCTAGATATATGGTCCAAGTCCAACTACCAGGTGTTCCAGAAGGTAAGCTCTGCTCGGCTGCTTGCTCAGGAGCGCTGAAGGGAGGATGGTGCTCTGAGGGGTCAGCACTGGTCTTCCATCCCAGTCTCTCGGAACATCTCACCCAGAGGCAGAAGGCTGCCCACTGTGGTTCCCTTTACTTGACCGTGACTGAAGGGAAAAGAAAAGACCTCAGGAGAGGGCAGATTTGTGTCCCAGGGCTGGGTGTGGCAGGAGCTGATCCCGGCCAGGCAGTGGCTCCGATGGGAACATTCTGGGCGGTGATTACGGGAGTGTGCTTCAGAGCGAAGGTACTGGAACCTGCAAAGGGCGAGTTTGTGTGTGTAAACTATCCCTTTTAAAAAGTCAGAGTCTTTCTAGTTGTTTCAGGCTCAGCTTGGGTTTTGTGCTCAGCTTTCTGAGCCCGTGGTCCGTGGGTTCCCTCGGGCCGGCCCAGGAGGCCGGTGGCCCCGCCCGCACCTACCCATCTCCTTACGCTGGTGCTGGTGCCGTTTACAGACTGGGCTTCCTCATGAAGTGCTTTTGGGAAAAGTTACGGGAAAATCCACGTTCCAGCTCCGGCTGGTGGGAGGGCTCCTGCTCCAGGGAGCATCCCACCACCTGCCCAGCCCTCAGGCTGCTCCCCCCGGGCACTGTCGCTTCCTCCGTCTTCATCCCTCCTCTCTGCTTCCATCCAGCCATGCAAACAGCCAAGTTTTTGTCATTTTATTCATTGTTTCAAGTTCAACAACAACTATGAATTGGGCCCCTTTGCATGTGCCAGGCACCGTGGCAGCTGCCAGGAATCTGGGGGACAGGGAAGCGCAGTGAGACACTCAGGGTGTCACTGGGGCTGCTATCAGGAGCAGCAGGGAGCGCCCTTCATCTGGGGCCGTCACAGGAGGGAGGCCTTTCCGGGCAGGCCCTCCCGAGGCCGGAAGGTGACAGGAGCAGCAGGTGGACGGCCTGGGAAGAGTTCCCCGCATGGAGGCAGCAGCCAGGCCTGGTGCTGGGAGCCAAGTCGCTACCTGCAGGTCCCAGCAGAGAGCTCCGGGGGACAGGCCGCCCCTGGAGCAAGGCGACGGCTGCCGCGGCCCCGCTGAGCACCCACTCGCCCCAGCGGCCCTGAGCCGCACCCCCCCGCAGGGCACGGCCTAGGCGAGCTGGGGAGTCCACAGGTGCTGCTGAGGGCAGGCCAGTCCAGGACGAGGTGGGCAGGAGGTGAGTGCACATCTGGGTGGCACGTGGGCTCCTAGAGTGCCCAGTCCCTCAGCTGCCGGCGGGGACGGGCTCGTTCTTTCTGAAAGAAGGACTTTCCGGCACTGGCTGGCGGGGGAGGGGGGGGGGGTTATGGCTCAGGGTGAGCGGTCAGGCCTGCAGCACCTGCCCCAGCCGCGCTCATCCCAGGTCCTCTGCGGGGAGCGGCGGTGCAGCGGATCCCGGGTAATTAGTGAGGATTCGGCCTGAGCCCTCTCCTGCAGCTCCGTCCCTCTCCGTCTGCTGCCTGTGCTCGTCACCGCGGCCAGGGCTCTCCTCGCGGTGGGCGGCAGCCGGGCTCGGCTGGAGGGACGCCACGGTCGGCTCTGTAGCAGGCTCTTCAGTATACTCCTAGGCACTCGGCTTAACTGTCCCTGTTACTGACCCTGCAGGACGGACTTCTAATCCGGGGCCCAGCTCTCCTAGCTCAGCGGGAGGGGCGTGGCGGACAGACAGTGGAGTCATGCTGGTGGACCCCACAGCAAGAGCACCTGGACCCTGGAGCCTGGTCAGGCTCAGGGCCGCTCGGCACTGTGGGCACAGCCTTTCCCTGGCATGGAGTGGGGACACAGTCCTACCAGCTGCTCAGGAGCTGCTGGGTTGGGGCAGGCCACCCCCTCCCTGTGCCTGGGAAATGGAAATTCTCACAGCCATCATGAGGTCCTTGTGGGACCCCTCCCACCTGGGATGCTTGCTCTTTGTCAAACCCTGTTCAAGTGCCTTCCTTCCAACACAGTAACCTGTCCAAGGTCACGGCTGTAAGTGACAGGCCCAACCCCAGCCGGTGCCCTCCCCCTCGCCAGGCTGGGTGAGGACCAGCCCTCGGCGGGGCAGGAGCTCCGTGAGCAGGCAGCTCCGCTGGGTGCAGCTAAAATAGCTTGTCCTCCCCGGGGTGCCCTCCAGCGCCAGATCCCGGCGGGGAGGTGTCAGGCTCCTCACGCACAATATGGCGGCGGCGCTTTGGGACGCTTGTTTTGACTGGCAGCTGTTTCAAGGTCTCCTGAGAGATTCCTCTCCTCTGAGCTGGCTCCCTCAGCCTGGAGGGGCCTGTGAGCCCTGCGGGGCGGGAGAAAGCAAAGCGATCGGCTGGCGGCAGTGGGCATGGCACCCCCGCAGAACACGCCTCCCGTGGGCCAGCCGGGGCTAGAGGCGCCCCAACAGCCACTGCCGCTCTCTGCCCCTCCGTCTTCTCCCTCCCCCTCGTGGGGCCCTGTCTCCCGGCTGATTGTTGCTTTGTCTTCCCCTCGCTCCCCATAGGGGGTGCCTTCTGCTTGGGTCTTCGGGCTCTTTCAGCCCCGCCGGCTCACAGGGCTCTGTTCTCAGGGGCCCTTCCTGCCTCTGCCGCTTCCTCTGGAGCCTCGTTAGCTTCCACACCTGGCTCCGGGCGGCAGGCGATGTCAGTGACTTAATGGCACGTTCCTGCTGCTCCAGGCCCCTTTCTCTCCGTCTTGGATGCTAAACAAAAACATCTTTGTTGTTGGAAAGTGTAAAACAAAAACAGATGGGAGGTGGCCTGCCTTGACAAAAAGGACGATGCTTGCAGGGGGATTTCTCCAACCCCTTCTTCCTGTGCTGTGAAGTTGGGCATGGGAAGCAGGAGCCAGCGAGGAGGGTTAGAGGAAGGGAGGGATCCGCCGGAGAGTGCTCCTTCTGTACCTGCCTGGGTAACTGCCGACGGGGTGGCTCGGAGACTAAATGCCTGTGAGCACTGAGGACCGTGACCGTTTGGCAACCGAAGGAGGACTTCACTGGCCTTTCGGGACCGGCCTGCGTCTGGCCGCCCGCCCGCCCCGGGACGGGAAGGCGAGGCAGGGCCCTGCCTGGGAGCCGCCTGCCCGAACAGAGCTGAGCGCAGCCCCGAGTCCGCTCTCGGGGAGCAGCCGCGGACGGATCCCGCCTGGCCTCGGCGGGGACTCGGCTTCCCGGAGACGCCACGGCGGCTGGTGGGGCAGAGGCCTCCGCGGGGAGGGAGGCCACAGCTCAGAAGCCCTCGCCCTCCCGCCCTAAGTCCGCTTCCTCTTCTGTAAAACGGAGAGAGAGCACCCAGCCAGTTGCCACGGGGACGAAGTGTGAGGGGCACAAGCATCACAGGCCCCGAGAATGCAGAGACTTGGTTAGTAAGTAACCCCTGGCCCTGAGAAGGCACCTTCGGGAGTAGGAGAGCCCCATCTGACACCAGCACCCACTCCACAGCACCCCGCTCCACGGTACCCCACTCCACGGTACCCCGCTCCACGGCAGCCCCTCCACAGCACCCCGCATGGCACCAGCACCCGCTCCACAGCCCCCCGCTCCACGGCACCCCACTCCACGGCACCCTACTCCACAGCACCCCCCTCCACAGCACCCCGCATGGCACCAGCACCCGCTCCATGGCACCCCACTCCACTGCACCCCGCTCCACGACACCCCGCTCCATGGTACCCCGCTCCACGGCACCCCACTCCACTGTACCCCACTCCACGGCACCCTATGACATTTCAGCAGCTGCGTTTACCTTGATTCTTGAATACAACACGCTCTCCTTCGGATTTGCCCTCCTGGATGTTGTGCACAGACTCAAAAGCCAAGCTAGGGTGAGCGCGGGCGGGGGCGGGGGTAGGAGACCTTTCCCCCCGCCCCCCCCCCCCCCCAGTGCCTGGACCCCACCTCCTGGCTGCTGGAGCCCGTTCCTCCCGCAGCGGGTCCCTCCCCAGCGGGTCCCTCTGGCAGCCGGCTCCTGAGAGTCTAGGAAAGTCGGGCTGGAAGGAGCCCCACCCCAGCCCTTAGTCAGCATCTGCTGGGGAGCAGGCCCCGGGGACTGTGCTCGTTACCGGCTGCGTCCTCCGCACGGGGATCCCTAAGAGCCGCAGAGGCTGGCCGACGGCTGGGCCAGCCCGAGACCCTGGTCCCAGGGCCCAGCAGGGCCCAGAGTGCGCAAGGCCAGTGCTGCTGGCCCTCGAACCCCATCTCAGGCAGCCGCTCCTGAGAGAACGTCCTCGCCACAGGGTGACCTTGCAGGCTGGCCAGTGCCTGGCTCCTCTGGCGGGTGGGCGAGCCGTGTCCTGGAGGAAGAGCCGGAGAAGGGACGTGGTGCCGCTGTGACAGAGGAGCCTCTGTCTGTCACTCCAGCGGCCAGCTTGCTTCTTGCTCACAGACACCCACCCGAGTTGGCCGAGAGCTGGGCTTCCATCACTCGGGACCCAGGCTTAGCAAGGCTCCCCCCGTGAGTCACCTGAGCGTGGCTCGGCCCGGCATGGGGCGGGCACGGGACCCACTCTCGCCTCCTCCGGCTCCAAGGGAAGCAGCACCGTCCATTCCCGGTGCGTCAGCGGGCCAGCCCCTGGACCCACCTAACGGCAGCTCAGGAGCCTGAAGGGCAGGCCTGGCGGGAAGGCCCCGGCGCTCCCAGCCTGAGAGCTGCAGGCTTCCCAGCCAGCCGGGGGAGGGGGTTCCGGTCCCATCCCCAGCCATGTCCCTCACTCTGCCCCACACCCTCACATGTGCCGGTCTCCCCAATGTCTCCCTGACGTCTCAGAGCCGGAGTGCACCTCCGGTCGGCACACGGCCAGGAACCTCCGGGCCGGGCGGGACAGGCAGGGCTCTGCCTCTCAGAACTCACCGTCAACTCGGGGAAACGGACACTAAACAGAAGCTGCAAAGAATAGTCACACATTCGGTCCCAGGAATGCCACCACAGAATGATCCGAGCCCAAGTATGTCCCCTCAGGGCCGTGGTCGGCAAACTGCGGCTCGAGAGCCACATGCGGCCCCTTGAGTGCGGCTCTTCCACAAAACCCCACAGCCTGGGCGAGTCTTATTTTGAAGCAGTGGCATTAGAAGAAGTTTAAGTTTAAAAAATTTGGCTCTCCAAAGAAATTTCAATCGTCGTGCTGTTGATGTTTGGCTCTGCTGACCGATGAGTTTGCCGACCACTGCCTCGGGATTCTGGGGGGCTTCCCTAGGCACCTGGATCTGAAGGGGGATGGGAGCTGGGGGGAGGGGACACTTGAGGACCCGCAGCGTTTGGGACAAAGGGGGGAGGAGAGGAGGCGGGACCAGGGCCCGAGGGTCCCCAGGGTCCCGTCTGGATTCTGTCTGGTGTGCACCATACCGAGAGGGTCTTCAGCAGCAAGGGCCATGGTCAGAGTGACGGCCGAACCAGCACTATGCTGATCAAACAGCTGCAGGGGCTCACAGTTACCCACGGGCAGGTGTTGTCAGTTTTCCAGGGGGGAGGCTGCAGCCAGGAGAGCTGAGGTGCCTGCCCAGATGGCACTGCTGGGAGGCGGCGGCCCACTCAGCCCTCCAGAGCCCTCAGCCCCTGCCCCTGGGGCAGCAGGTCTCTGCCCACGCCCCGCTGAGGCAGGCCTGGGAGGAGCCGGAGAGCCACCCCGCACCCAGAGACTTGAGTACGCGCCTCGGACAAGCCCAGGTGTCAGCGTAGACCCCGGGCAGGCGGCGGTGTCACTGAGCAGCTGGAGAAGCAGGTTGGCAAGGACGCTTTAGATGTTTCTGGAAGGCAGTTATCAACACAGCCGGGAGCGGGCAAGTCCCGAGGTCGGCCAAGGAAAGGAGGAGGAGATGGGCGCAGGCCAGGCACTCCGTGAGCAGTGGATTCTGAGCAGAGGTTCTTGGCAGAATCTTGGGGAGATGCCCTAAATTCCGAAGGCCACGGGCCAGGCAGATAGCACGGGGAAGCAGGCGGTGGAACCGTGGGGTCTGGCACAGGGCCCCGCCAGAGGCCGCCCACCGGGACTCCCTGCTCTGGCCACTGGGCTGTGGGGGCCGGCGTGTCACAGGGGACTGGCTTCGTTCTCACACTGACCACAGATCGGATTCTGCGGTAGAAGCTGGGGATCGGAGTTGGGCGAAGTTTCCTGAACTTAAATCTTGGTCATTCGTGTTAAAAATTGTCACCAGGAAAGCAAAGGTCCTGTCCACCTGAACAGAGCCTCCTGCCTTGGCGTGGCTGTGGGGGCGGGTGCCTGGGAGGTGGGCCAGGCCGTGCTCAGGCTGCCGAAATGCAGAGCCAGGCTCCTCCCGGGGGCTCCGGGGCTGGGAAAGGAGGACACCCAGGTGGGGGACAGCAGGCCGGGTCCCCTGTGACAGTGGTGATGAGGGGGCAGGCCTGTTGACTAAATGGAGGTGCAGGAGAGAGAATCCTCCAGAAACTGATTGTGGGGAATGTCCTCAGCTTCTAAAGCGTCATGTGCTGGCTGGAGAGCTAGGCATCCGTGGGGAGGAAGCGAGCTTCGGCTCAGGCCCCCTGGCCGAGCGGGCTTTGCTGGGGCATCACACCGCTCCAACCCCGTTCACCGGGCCGCCCTCGCCGCTGCGGGAGAGGTGAGAGCGGCCGGCGGGAAGGCTGCACGGAAAGGCAGTCTGTCTGCCGGGCGCGGCGTGGGAACCTCGGACGCGCTGTCTGCTGCGTCGGCAGGAGAGCCAGGCAGGTGTCGCTGGTTGTGGCCTCTGGTGAGCCGGCACTTTTAACTTTATTTCTTAGTCAACAAATATGTGCGAGCACCTGCTGGAGGCCAGGTGATGTCGGGCCTGGGGACTCAGCACACGCCAGATGGGCGTGCCCCGTGCCCTGCAGAGCTGTTCACCTAGTGGGGCTCACCGGCCGCCGAGCAGCCAGGAGGGTCCCTGGGCAGAGGCCAGGTCCAGGGTCCAGGGGAGCGGAGCGGCGGGAGGCAGGCTTTGCATGCATGGCCATTGTATCGGGGAAACTGAGGCCTAGAGAGGGTCTGTGAGTGTTCTGTGAGCTGGGGAGCCCGGTCCTCTCACTCCGGGCGTGGCCTCTGGCCTTGGGTGCAGGCCACAGTCCAGCTGTGGGTCGTTGACAACTCGGCGAGTGGGGCTGTCACCTGGCCGGTGTGCGAACGGCTCTCAGGCCCCCAGTGCGTCACACGTGCGCTGTGGGTGGGAGAGCCGGGAGCCAGCACGAGGGGGGCCACTGCCTCTCTGTGCACCATGTTGCAGCATCTGTAATGCAAGGATCCCCGATGAGGACGGTCCCGTAAACCATGTGTGGACAGAACCGTCAAATTCAACGTAACCTATCAACTAGCCGATGGGTGGCGGGCTTAGCAGTGTGGCGTCTTCAAGCATCAGGCCTGCAGGACCTCAGGTCGGCGCTGTGTTCCAGAAGCGCCAGGAGGCAGGGCAGGGCTGAGGCCAATGCCTCCAGGGAGCTTGCAGCAGCTGAGCCCTAGGCACTGACAGCCACTGCTTGAAGTGGGGGGCATTGCTTGGAGTGGGGCATTGCTTGGAGAGGGGGGGCTGCTTGGAGGGGGGCATTGCTTGGAGTGGGGAGGGGGTGGCTGTGGCTCCAGGGGCTGAGACAGACCACCGCGTCGGAGGGCTGGCGAGAGACCACACTTGGGGGACGAGGTACCTGGGAAGGTAGTTATAGGAGGCCCCAGGAAAGGTCCTCAGAAGTGGCCCCATTCCTGACCTGAGGTTGCTGGAATGTTCCCCCCTGGGCTCGCCTTCCAGCCTGGACCCCTTCCTTTTGGCCCCTCCCCTACTCGGTGGCCTGCCCTGGCCTGGGCATTTCCTGGCGGAGCCTTCCCTCCTGGGCATGGGAAGCAGACGGCGCTGAAAGGAGGAAGCGGGTCTTACTCTCTCTGCGGACTGGAGTGCCTCTCACCCATTCCTCTCCTCGTCCCAGGTGACAGACCACGCCACCACCGCCCTGCTGCACTACCAGCTGCCCCAGATGCCCGACGTCGTGGTCCGCTCCTTCATGGTGAGTGGCCAGAGGGGGGGCTCATTCAAACCGAATCCCCGGAGTGAAGCCCCAGAGGTGGGGGGACCCTCAGGGGCGGGAGGGACCCGCAGGGGAGGAGGGACCTGCGGGGGGGGGAGGGGGGACACCTGTAGGGGCAGGTGGGACTGCAGGGGCGGGGGGGGGGGGGACACGCAGGGGCGGGCGGTTCCATGGGGGAAACCCGCAGGGACAGGGGAAACCGCAGGGGCAGGTGGGTGTTCCGTCCGCACACAGCGAGGCCTCCCAGGCGGTGGCCAGTGGAAGGACACTGCTTTCCGCTGGGAAGGGAGCCAGGAGGAGCGCCGTCTGCTCAGCTCTGAGGCGTGCTGGCCTCAGGTGCTTTCTGTCTGGGGAGGGACCTCCGGCCGCTCCCAGCTCCCTCATGCAGTCCCTGAGCTCCTGGCTGCGGCTGTGCGTGGCCTGAGAGGGTCACAGAGACTCAGACCAGCCTTGCGCTTCTCCCCCGACTATGTTTCACCCTCCAGTGAGGAGCGGGCTCAGGGTGGGGAGGCCCCGGGGCGCTGGCTCAGCTCTGTCTGCTCCTGTTCAGCAGCCAGTTTTGTGGGCAGCTGTTCAGCAGTGGGATCGGAGCTGGGTGTTCACACTGTGGATCAGCAAGCTCTGCAGGTCAGGGCCCTCCGCCCACCCCACAGCCGGTGCCGGCACGAGCACCATTATCAGTGACCGCCAGTGGCCTCGGCGGGCCGGCCGCTGGCCCCGCACGGCTGGCAGCGCCGCCCTCGTGTGCACCGCGCTGCGGGCTCCACGCTCTCCCACCAGTGGGCCCTGCCTTCACCGTGGTTGCTGCCGGGTGAGAGCCACGGGAGGACTTCCTGTCAGCAGTCCATGGCGTGGGCAGCGAGGGGGGCGCTGCTCGTGCCCTTTCCCGATCGGGTTGGCCTCGCAGGTAAGCTGTTGAGAGAAGCTGCGTTGGTTTTTTAGCGGACACGCCCGGCCCCTCGGTGGGGCGGGAGCAGGACATGCAGGTGCTCAGCACTGTCCACACAGCGGCTCGCTCCGGTGTCCAGGGTCACTCATGTGGACAGAACCGTCAAATGCGATGGGAGGCGGGCTTAGTGGTGGCGGCGAGCGCCAGGCCTGCAGGACCTCCGATCGCGCTGTGTTCCAGGAGCGCCAGGAGGCAGGGCAGACTGAGCCAGCGCCCCCTCTGGGCCCGCCCTCCGGGGTCCTCGCCTCGGGGTGCGCACAGGGCTTGGCTTTCCCACGAGACCAAAACACCTGCTTCCCGGCGACTCACCTGGAAACGGGGAGCGTTTGGTTTGCTCACTGAGATAAATGGTTGAACCGAATGACCCATTGATCTCCTCACGGTCACTGCCCAAACCTCCAGCCGGTGGCATCGCAGCCAATGCCGTTTGTCTAAGGGTGATTATTGCTGATTGAAATTTTCCCCATATTCCGCCATGAGGACTTGAAACCTTGGCAACTTTTGACAGTCTCCATGGAGACTGAATTAAAACACACACACACTCACACACACACACTCTCACACTCATACACACACTCTCTCACACACACACACACACTCTCACACTCATACACACACACACACACACACACTCATACACACACATACACTCACACACTCACATGCTCACACACACACACACACACTCATACACACACTCTCACACACATACACACATACAAACGCACACACATACACACACTCTCTCTCATACACACAAACACTCACACTCATACACACACACTCATACACACTCACACACACACACACTCATACACACACACACTCACACACACATATACACACACACACACACACACACACACACACACACACGCAGCACCTCCAGCCCCCGCCTGGGAGGCGGTGGGGGCGGGCTGCCCTGAGGCGGCTGTGAGAGAGAGGGCCTATCAGTAACGGCGCCCTCTTCAAGAGCAGGGTCCCCCGCCGGCTGGGGCGGGCGGGCGGGCGGGCGGGTGGTCGGGTGGGTGGTCGGGCGGGCGGGTGGGTGGGTGGGTTTGCGGCCGCCCTCCCTGAGCCGGGATGGAGCTCGGAGTCCCACGCTTGTGCATGATGCCGAGCGGGACTCCGCCGCTTATCGCGTTCCCGGTGGCACGGGGGTCCCCGCAGGTGTGCTGGCCGCACCGTGGCCATGAGCGGCGACCTGAAATCCCATCAGGCAGAGGCGTGTGGTCTCGGTGGGAATTAATTCTGAAGCATCAGCAGTGCGTTCTCCCTCCACACGTGTCCTCGGCCACTGGGAACGGGGCCCATGCCGTGTCCGCAGACACTGCCCGCCGCCCAGGGAGCGTGCCCACGTGCGCCCTCCCGTTTGAGGGGGCTAGGGTGGGGGCGCAGAAGTGAAGACGGGCAGGGTGGCCTGTGGGGTCCAGGGTGGCCTGTGGGGTCCAGGGTGGCCTGTGGGGTCCAAGGTGGCCTGTGGGGTCCAAGGTGGCCTGTGGGGTCCAGGGTGGCCTGTGGGGTCCAGGGTGGCCTGTGGGGTCCAGTGGGGCCTGTGGGGTCCAGTGGGGCCTGTGGGGTCCAGGGTGGCCTGTGGGTCCCACTGCAGCCGGTGACGACTCGGTCACCTTAGCCCTCTGTCCGAGAGGTCACGGGCTTGAGAGGAGGTGACCTTGGAGGCACCGATCCCTGTCTCCGGTCTCTCCTCGCTCCAGACCTGGCTGAGAAGTTACATAAAGCTGTTCCAGGCGCCGTGCCAGCGCTGCGGGAGGTTCCTGCAGGACGGCCTGCCCCCCACCTGGAGGGACTTTCGCACCCTCGAAGCCTTCCATGACACCTGCCGGCAGTGACCCGCCGCTGCCCCCGCACCAGGGCAGACCGCCCGCTGCCCCCCTCCGTCTCCCAGGAAGCCTGGCCCTGAGGGAGCCCGCTGCCCCCCTCTCCGTCCCCCCGGAAGCCTGGCCCTGAGGGACCCCGCGTCAGGGCAGACCGCCCGCTGCCCCCCTCTCCGTCCCCCAGGAAGCCTGGCCCTGAGGGAGCCCGCATCAGGGCAGACCGCCCACTGCCCCCCTCTCCGTCCCCCAGGAAGCCTGGCCCTGAGGGAGCCTCCAAAGACAGACCGGCCCGTGGACAGGCCCTGGGCGGCCCGGTGGCCGTGGACCCGGGGAGGATCCGGGCTCGGGGGCGCTCTGCCTCCGGAATCGCCCGGTCGCGTTCCCAGTTTCCTCAAGCCCGTGTTCCTGCAGTCGGGCTGGCGCTGCGTTTTGTAACTTATTTTTTATGACAATAAACCTGTCTCAGCACACGTGTGTCCTGTCTCCTGTCCCTTCGGTGGGCAGCGGGTGGGCAGGCCGGCCTGTGGAGAAACCCGGTCTCCGCGAGGGTCGCTCCTCTGCTCGCTGCTCTCGGGGGCATTGGCACCTCCGTCCAGACCCTGGGCCCCTCGGGAACTATCGTCCTTTCTGAGAAAAGTGCCCGGTGCTCCTTGTTCCGAAACCAGGAGCACGCACCCTGCTTGTGCGGGCGTCCGGCGTGTCTGCCGAGCTGGGCTGGATGTCGCTGAAAACAGGTTCCAGCCCGTCTGCTGGCTCGTCCCCCGAGTGGGTGGCTTCTCGAGGGAGCGGGCGTCCCCAGGGCCGTCCCACCCTCCCTCCCGCTGCCAGTCACCCTCCCGGTCACCCTCCCGCTGCCGGTCACCCTCCCGCTGCCGGTCACCCTCCCGGTCACCCTCCCGCTGCCGGTCACCCTCCCGGTCACTCTCCCGCTGCCAGTCACCCTCCCGGTCACCCTCCCGCTGCCAATCACCCTCCCGCTGCCAGTCACCCTCCCGGTCACCCTCCCGCTGCTGGTCACCCTCCCGGTCACCCTCCCGCTGCCGGTCACCCTCCCGGTCACCCTCCTGCTGCAGGTCACCCTCCCGCTGCCGGTCACCCTCGGAGATGCCCAGGGAAGGGCGGGTGCCGCCTGGTGAGGGGACTTGCTGGAACAGGAGGGCCGGCAGCGTGGCGTCCGGAGCTCAGCAGAAACACCCTCCAGCCCCAGCGGAGCGGGCGTGACCGAGCCCTGCGCCCCCCGGACACGAACCCGGATGTCTTCACCTGGCCCCAGGGCCTGGCCACTTCCGCCGCCTGCCTTCCGTCCGCCCCGACCGGTCCCTCCGCAGGTTCCCGCCACAGGGCATGCGGCTCCCGACTGCCGGCAGGTCCCTCTCCCCCTCCTCTCTGCGTGGGGCTCTGCGGGAAAACAAGCAGGACATTGGGGTGTGCGTCCCATCCCCGCTCTGAGGCTTCTCTTGCGCAGTGTCAGGCTCCCGTGACCAGCGGCAGGCAGAATGGTAAAGGGCCCACGGGGACTGCGTGTGACATGTGACTTAGTTACCCCGCCAGCTCTGCCTGGGCTCCGGGCCCGAGTCTCACCGTCACCGGAGGCGCAGGCGTTGCCCCGGGTGTGGGTGCCCTGGGCCCTGGGCAGATCTCTGCCCGCGCCTGTGCCGCCCCAGCTGGTGCCCGAAGACCGAGTCAGCAGGCACCGCCGTGGCGACAGAGCGGATGAGCTGACCGTGTCCAGGCTTCTGCGCCAAACAGGGAGCTGGCCTTCAGGAGGCGGGCAGCCTTCACACCTCCGCCGCCAGCCTGGTGCTGGACTCTCCCTGTGAACGCACCAGGCTCCGTCGCCTCGGGGTGTCAGAGTGGGGGGCCGCTGCTAAATCTGGAGCCTTTGAAGGTCACCCTGAGGGACGGCAGCTTCAGCCGCCAGCGTCAAGGCCGGAGGCGTGGGAGCGGCAGGGCCTGAGGGTGGAGGCCAGAGGGTAGGCGTCCGCTCCCCCCAGCTTCCGCGTCCCCGCCGGCGTGAGGACACCTCGGGGGCCCGCCTTGTCCTGCACTGGACAGGAGCGGGTGCACCGGGCCGCCCCCTGCTGCCCCCTCCGGGGCTGAGCACAGCCCGCCCGCCGCCAGCCTCGCCCGCCGGCCCGGGGATCATTAGGCCTCTCTCTCGGACAGCAGGCCTCTCCCGTCTCTGCCATCTTCCCTCTCATTCCCACCCCGCTCCTTAAATTAGTGGAAAGGAGCCTCGTAAAACGACTTTCCAGTCGGGTTTTAAATTGCAGGTCAGCTGCTTCCTGTGATGAGGACGCGGAGAGGGAGCGTGGAGTTCCCGCCCAGCCCAGGTACCACGGCGGCGGCGGCTGCAGGGTGATTAGCTGCTCTGAGCCGCTCCCGGGTGTCTGTGCTAATTGAGTGGAACTCCGGCTGCAGGCGTGTGGGCCCGGTGTGACCCGCAGCCGCCGCGGCTGCAGCTGCTCCCCGTGTCCACAGAGACGCCGCAGGGAGGCGGCCCCGGGGAGGAGGGGGCGGGAGGAGGGGGAGGGGCGGGAGCTGGGAGCCGGCCTGGGACCTGCAGGCCTCACCAGCCCGCTGCAGAGTGGATCGTTAGTGAACGCATTGCTCACTGTCATCGAATGCTGGCTCTCAGCTCAATCACCGGCTTACGGCTCCTTTCTTAATTACCGAAGGAATACATGTGTTCTTTTTACAGGAAATTAGGTAACCTGGCCCGGCCAGCGTGGCTCAGTAGTTGAGCGTCAAGCTTTGAACCAGGAGGTCAGGGTTCAATTTCCCGTCAGGGCACATGCCTGGGTGGCAAGCTTGATTCCCAGGGTGGGGCATGCAAGAGGCAGCCAATCAATGATTCTCTCATCACTGATGTTCCTGTCTCCTTATCCCTTTCCCTTCTTCTCTGAAATCAATAAAAATATTAAAAAAAAAAAAAACAAAAAAAACTAGGTGCTGAAACCGGTTTGGCTCAATGGATAGAGCATCGGCTTGGGAACGGAAGGGTCCCGGGTTCGATTCCGGTCAAGGGCATGTACCTTGGTTGCGGGCATATCCCCAGTAGGGGGTGTGCAAGAGGCAGCTGATCGATGACTCTCTCTCATCGATGTTTCTAACTCTGTATCCCTCTCTCTCCCTCTCTGTACAAAATCAATAAAATATATATTTTTTTAAAAACAAACAACTAGGTAATGAGGATAAACACAGAAAAAAAGATAATATTCATAGTCCCCACTAGCAAGAGAGAATTACCAGGCGCTTTGGTGGCTGTCTCCCCAGACCTTCATACGGACACATTTGCGTGTGTGTGTGTGTGTGTGTGTGTGTGTGTGTGTGGTGTGTGTGTGTGTGTGTGTGTGCTTGTAAAAAAAAGATCCTACTCTGTACCGTTTTGAAACCTGGGCAGAGACCTGCCTCTAACCCAGAGGCCCCAAAGGCAGGGCTCAGAGAATGTGGACACTCACTTCTCCTCCTCTCAGAGCCCCACGGGAGCGGTTCAGACCAGGCGGACCTCGGTTCCATGCAGTCACACGGGGCCCTGTCCTCCCGCCCCGTGGCACCACCCGTGGCACCACCCGTGACAGGGTCACGGGCACTTTCTGAGCTTGCAAACGGGGAACACAGAGCCACTGGGAGCATGGTGTGCGGGGCGCGTGAAAGGCCGTCTTCGTTTCCGTGGAGCGTGCATGCCCGGCGTGCATGTGCGGGGTCACAGAGTGAGTCCACGTTCGGTTTTACAAGGAAATGCCAGCCTGGCATTTCACATTCACACCAGCAGGGTCTTCACCAGCATTTGGTTTGCCGCCCTTTCCTATGTCAGCCGCCCCGAGGTTTATGTCCGTGTCTCTGCGGGCGAACCACGTGGTCCATCTCTCCTTCCGTCGGCACGTTGTCGTGGGTGAGATATCTGTGCGTGTCTTCTGCCCGTTTCCTAATTGGATCTTTTTGTTGTTCTTTTGCAAAATGTGTTTTTATTGATTTTTTTTTTATATATATATAGAGGGATAAAGAGATAGAAACACTGGTGAGAGAGAAACATCAATCAGCTCCTCCTGCAGGCCCCACATTGTGGATCAAGCATGTGCCCTGACCAGGAATCGAACCGGTGACCTCTTGGATCGTGGGTCAATGCTCAATCACTGAGCCACACCAGCTGGGCTGGATCGTTTTTTAATACCGGGTTTTCAGAGTTCTCTGCATACGATTCCTTTGTCAGGTGTGTGATTTGTACATATTTGGCCCACCTGTAGCTTGTCTGTCCCTTCATCCTCTCTATGGGCTCCTCCTCAGCGTGTTTTCACTTACCCGTCATTCTTTAGGTGCTGAATCTAACGTAGGGTTGTAGGTGAGCAGTGTTCTGCTCTTAGGAACGTTATTGTGTGCATGTGTGTTCTCGCAGGCAGAGCAAGCTGTGGGGCAGGCCTCCTTAACCCCTTGCTGTCCACGTGCTCCCCCCACCCCACCCCCCGCCGCCCCCTGGCTGTGCGTCAGAGCTCCCATCGCATCGGGTGTTAGTCATTTATTTACTTGTCATGGCCCGACCCCGCCACGAGAGGGCGGCTCCGTGAGGGCAGGAGCTGGGTCTGTCTTGGGCGTTGCTCTGCCCCCTGCGCACAGTAGGTGCTCAATAAACATGTGCCGAATGTTGACTGGAACAAGGGAGCCAGGCTCAGATCTCTGCTCTGCTCCCAAACCAGTGCCTGGGCCAGTCGCTCATCCCTCTCCGCCCGCAGGCTCCGCCTGGGCTTCCCACAGGGCAGTCCTGTGAGAAATCACCCCAAGAGCCGCCACCATGGGCCTGGGATAAAGACATCTCCCAGCTCCTTGCGGTTGGGGGTGGCCGTTGGGGTGGCCTTGGGTTGTGTTCAGCCGCTAGGCCGTGTTCCTGGGGGGCAGCAGAGGGGAGGGAGGTCTGCTCTGCCCCTTTTCTCCCCCGGCCGGCCAAGGTGCGGCTAGAGGGCCGGCTCCAAGCAGCCCTGCTGGGCCAGGAGGTGGAGCCGCAGGCCGATGTGGCGGAA